GAAGAAGAGGTGGGAGGTAAATTTGTGAGGGTACTAGAGAATGTAAGGCAAATGTATTGATGATTTAGGGTGTGTCCACTGTGCCTGTGTGTGTGTGTGTGTGGTACACCCACTTTGCAAAGTGAAGTATAAAATAACTATTGTTTTCTCTTGGAAGTTTTGGCTAGTGATTGTTTATTTCCAAACTAGACAAGGAATCCCACACTCTCTATGTCAAATTTTGAAAATTGCCACTAATTTAAACTAAGGATTTCCTGTGGTTTATAGCACTTTTTCCCTCCATCATATTCCAGTAACAAATTCACTAATTCATTGTAAATAAACAGCCAGACAATTGGCATAAGAATCCAACTCAGATACTTTTCATTCCTTAATATTAAGAAATCATTTCTTAATATTTAAGTAGAAACATATGGCTTCACAGGAGCCTTTCATCTTGATGGCATCTGTTCAGTTTCTTCTACAGTAAATTTTTACTCGATGCAGCTCAGAATCATACATGTGAAATAATCAGCTACTGTATATAAAGGTGATGAATAAATAAAATGTATTTTTGTGACCTTGTTTGGATCAATCATACCTTTTCATAGTTGCCTTCTCATCTATGAAATGTTTTCTTATATACTAGTATCATCCATACTTTCCTGCCTGTTAAAATGTCTTTTTATATAGTAAATTTATTAAACCTTTAACAGATACTAAAAATCAAACTGAAGAAAAGGGAGGGAAGGAAGGAAGGAAGGAAGGAAGGAAGGAAGGAAGGAAGGAAGGAAGGAAGGAAGGAAGGAAGGAAGTGTTGGAAGTTATAACCCACCCCTCTCCTAGAAAAATGAAATATTTTAGGATATACTAAAAGGGCAGAATATTTCCCCTAAAAGAGAAGTAGAAACTCAAGAGAGGCAGAAACTCAGCCCCTACACCTTTGCTAATGGGCCATTAAGGTTCTGGGCCAGTCTACTTTACATAACAAAGGCCTACCTCCTTCAGGCAGACCCATAATAAGAATCCCAAAGCCCTTTCATTACATCATCATCCAGCAAGGCTCAACCAAGCCTGGGACTCAGAACAGCCTACAGAGTTGCCCCTGCACAGCCCCATGGGAGTCTGACAACCAATCAGAATACAAGCTCAAATTCAAATCTCAACAGAGGGCATAAAACCAAGGGACTCTCAGCATCTCTTCCCTTTTTCGCTCAGAAGCTCCAAGGCATGTGATCCTGTCCACCATTAAACCATCTTTCCAAATAGCCCCCATATTTCCAGTGTCTTTTTCCTCGCTTGGAACTGAACCCAGAAGGATATTTTTTTCAACAGAAGGAAGGAAGGATTACAAAATTACTTCAATCTCTTATGAAACATTTATAATCCCAAATGTAAATTTATCTCTTACACTAAGGTTACAACATAACTTTCATTTTTTTCCTATCATCTACAGCACTTTTTTTTCCTAATCATCATATGTCGTAATTTCATTTTTCCAATTTCTCTCGAATAGTGGAAAAGGGCTTTCCAGTTGGCATTAAAATTAATATTTTCTCTAATCAATTTAGCCATTTCAGCAAGCTATGTCACCTTCACCATCCACTCATTCATTGTGGGTAATATCAAATCTTCCCATCATTGTGCATATAAAAGTCTTGTTGCTTGTTTAGCTTCCCGCTAAAATTTCAATACATCCTACCTGCTTGCTTTTTACCATTATCACCATTACTTTAATTATAGATTTGCAGGATATTTCATGGATTGATTCAATCCTGTATATTTCTATACCACTCAAAAGGAAGTATCAATTGTTTCAGTGCTGCAACTCTCAGTGTCAATCAAATTGCAATCTGTAAATTCAGTATCTAGAATATCTGGAAAATTTGGATGCCAATCCTTGCTCAGTTCTGTCTCACTGGATGATTTAGTAGCTTACCTCATCAAATTGCTTTAGCTTTAATGTTGCTCATTTCTTATGGGGCAAGATAAAAATATAATTATAATTATATATTTAATATCTCAAAGGAAGATGACATTTTTGAAGAATTGCTAAATAATCTTTAAAATCATGGAATGCTTCCATGTTTTATATTAATGACAAGATTTCACTTTATATACATCTCCCTATTTTTGACTGCAGTAAGACTTCTTTTCCTAAGGACAATTGTCCTCTAATTCATGAAATATCCCTCCTTAGTAATCATTTCAACTTTTTTTAAATTGTAAAACTTGTTTTTAGTAAAGCAAATGCTATATATGTATGAGAGATGGGAGACTAGTGAGAGAAATGTGATTGTTTGATTAAAAAATTATAAATACAAATGATTTTCTGTTGTTGGCAAAGAAGCACATTACAGTCTTGTGTAGCTCATATCCTTTATGGGATTTAGTGATTATTCAAATTCACGTTGAATTTTTCAGGGAGCTGTATCGTCTTCTCAATTTTTCCATGGGTGGAAAACAATTTTCATTGCTCAATATTGTCTTGGGATTTTATCTAAAGCATCATGAATCTAGTTTATGTGGTGCATTCCAATACCTTTCTGAAGTACCATGAAATGCATTAATAATTTATTTTAAATATTGGCAAAAAAACTAAATTATAAAGCATATTCCCATAAGTTCTTTCTCTTATATATTCTGTATCTGCCAAGCCTTCCAGAAAATATTATTGAGATCTTTGATAGCAGACATTCAAAGAAACTATAAAAAGCAGGGCACAAAAATAATTTGTAAAATTCAGCAGTGAGGTATTATTTCCTTACATCATTTTTAATTCATATAGAGGTGATACTTTTTTAAACTGTTCCAAATAATAAAAATATGGTCAGTAAACATAATTTTTTATTTTTATTCTTATTCTTGCCCAGTTAGAAATTGTCTTTGCTGATACTGAAAAAAATTCCATCCATAATTCACTAGAAAGAAAGAAAATTGTCATTACAATATTCATGAACGTGCATTCAGTATAAGGTGACTTTGAGAAAAATAGATCTGTTTGCATTTGAACATCTCTATCTTTTACCTGTATTTATAGGTGTATTTGTGCATTACACAACAATGTAGACATAACACGCGAGATCATTCCTCTGCCTTGCAGGTCAAAAAGATTAAATATGGAGCACGGTGGGGCAGATTGCCATTTCTCTTATTTCTGCTGTGGTGAAGGATTTCTTAATTCACCTTTGGTCCAGTTCAACCACATCTCCTTTGACCTTTTTGGACAGTGGAGATTACCACACTGGGAAGGCCACAGTGAGACTGATGGAAGGGGGGTTTGACAGTGGGGTTTTCAAGGCTGGATTCCCACCTCCCATTTCAGAGCTCTCTCTCTCAAATTAGTTTTATGGCCTCCGCTATTGAAATTTCAAGGGAAGTCCAGGACAATTGCATGCATAGCACCATCACCTTGAGTTTGGTTTGGTCCAGGGGTCTCTAAACCTGGAAACTTCTAAGACTTGTGGACCTCAGCTCAGGGGTGGGATTCTACCAGTTCTGTCCAGCTCTGTAGAACTGGTAGCTCTGAAGAGCAGCAGACGGAATCAGTTCTATGTCTGCTGATGTTTTGGCCCACCTGCCAGCCCTGGTTCTTACCTGACCTTTATTTCCTGCTTTTTCAAGCTCAGCTGCTGTGCAAGGCACAGCTGCAGTTGAAAAAGCAGGGGGAAAAGTGCTGTTTCAAACGCGGCTTCTGTGCACTCAGTGCTGGTCAGCTGTCCAGGCAGCAAGCTGATGACACTTTACAGGTGCGCGCAGCTGCAAGGAAGCACATCATAAATCACCAAACCTCGTGAATCACCAAACCGGTAGTTAACCCTGTTGGATCTCACCCCTGCCTCAGCTCTCAGAATTCCTCAGCCAACAATGCTGTGGAATTGTGGGAGCTGAAGTTCAAAAGTCTTAAAGTTGCCATGTTTGGAGGCCCCTGGTCTAATGTTAAGGCACCAGCTAGAACCCAGGAGACTGTGAGTTCTAGTCCTTTCTTTAGGCATGAAAGCCAGCTGGGTGACTTTGGGCCAATCATTCTCTGTCAGCCCAACTTGCTTCATTGGGTTATTGCTATAGAGAAAATAAGATGAAGTAGTTTTAGTTATGTTTGTCACCTTGAATTATTTAAAAAGTAACAAAGATAGGATATCAATCAATCAATAAGGATCACCTACATGGACCACAGAATGCTACTTTATAGAGCAGACTATTGGTTTATCAAGATTTGTATTGTTTATACTCTGACAGGTAGCAGTGTTTTCTGCATCACTTGATCCTTTCACCTGACTTTCTAGCCAATTGGTGGGCCTGAGAAAATGGAGTAATCTTCAGGGTTTTTTTCTGAAATTCTTATTTTTATGTCACAGAATGAGTAACAACTATTTATCATTTAATTTAATTTGAAATCTGAAGGCAGAGTATATTATCCCATCTTATTTTATCACAACAATGCTGAGAGGTAGATTCTTTTGTGTGCTAATTATTTCTACAGGCGTGAATATTTCAAATGAAATAAATTTCATTCTGTATCAACAGATAAGTCATGGCCTTATGCCATAATAAGCTGACACTCATAATTTGCATTGTGAAAATGATTTGAATAGTTTCATACTAACAGGTTTGGCAAATAGGAAATGGATTGCAATACTGAAATATTCTACTTGCCCGGGATTCAGGAAGCACAGAATAGCTTAATGGCATTGTTATTCATTAATAGAAATGATCAAAATTCATTTTACTGAAAAAATAAAAGATTTCCCTTTCTGGCTTTAGTAGGAAAGTTCTGCGTGAGTATTTAAATATACATATATTTTAAAAAGTTAATGTTTCCTTTCCTGGGAAGAACAGGGGTCTCATCCTGAAATACATTAAAATGAGAAATGCCAATATCTATATCTATATAGATCTATCTATCTATCTATCTATCTATCTATCTATCTATCTATCTATC